GGGGGGGGAATCGCTGGCACCCCAGGTTTAACCCCACTTTTTTTTATTCTCTTTCCCCTTTCCCTGCAGATGACGGCTCGCCTGATGCTCGCTGTGGGAGGAGCGGTGCTGGGTTCCTTGCAATTCGGCTACAACACCGGCGTCATCAACGCCCCGCAAAAGGTGAGAGCGTGCGCCGAGCGACCTCGCCGGAGCAAAATTCTACCCCCCAAACCCCTGTGCCCGAAAACAAACCCGCACCCGCCGCCGGCCCGGCTAAAATAGTACATCCCGCTAGGCAGCTTACCGCCTGTAATGGGATTTGCCAGGGAGTGATTTAGCTCCCGACTTCCCAGGAGAATTAGTTTCCTCCTCGCTTAGCGTTCTTGCTGGGAAGAATCCCAGGAACGCCTGCGGGATGCTCGCCGGGTGGGACTGGTGTAACCTCGAACCTCGGCTTTTAGTGAAGATCTGGAAGTTAATTAGGGTTTGAGTCATCTCGAAGCTGAGGGGGGGGGAATGAGCGCCCAATCCCATGCCCCAGTGCATCCCGATGCATCCCAATCCTCTGCCCCAACCCAAATCCTGGCACCCCAATTTATCCCAACACATCCCCATCGCAGCTTTGCATCCCGGAGCGTCGGGATGTCGCCGGGAGGGGAGAGGGTCGGCTGCTTGCGGGGTGGGAGGGAGAGCAGGAGGCGTTGGCTCCTTCCCCTACCAGAGTGCCAGGACCCTCCAGCGGCTGGGAGGGCCGTGGGAGCCTTGAAAAGCTTGACTTTGCCCAAATGACGTGGCTTTTGGAGGTGTTCAGGGGCTAAAAAAAAAGGAATGCCACGTGGTGCTTGCAGCGTGCCCTGGGCAAAGCTCCCGTGCCTGGGGTAAGGTGTCGAAGGACAACCCGGGGTCCAGCCACTGCTGTGCCGGAGCGGAGCCTATCCCCGAGCAGCATCGCAGCCCCCAGTGCACCATCCCAAATCATTACACCCACCCAGGCAGGGTTCACGCCGTGAGAGGGTTAATCCCATGACCAGCGAGCAGGTTGCAAAGTCTCCCCTCGAGCGCTGGGTTAAAAACCCTCCTTGAGGGCGAGAAGACCCCAGGAAAAACTCCCCAGCCCCCGTCAGTGTGGAAAGAGCAAAAAAGTCACAAATTGCCTTTATAAAGGTGTATTTTATCCCGGTGAGTGGCCTCAGCAGGATTTCACGTGGCTGGAGGCTGCGACTCCCGTCCAGCACCCGTGGCCACGGGGCACGCATCCATCTGCCAAAAGCATCGCCCTGCTAAAAAATCCCGACCCCCGCTCGCCTTCCCCTCGCGCTGGAGACATTAGTGCGCCAGGGACGGGCGATGGGAGCAGCGTTGGGAGCTGGGAAATCCCTGGGAACGTGCTGAGGAGCAGATTTCTGGCACCTGCCCTCGTTTTTCCCTGAGCTCGGGCCCGGCGGGGAGCGGGCGCTGTAATCCCCGCCGTGCTCCGGAGCCCGGCCCCCCGAGGACCCGCAGCGTTTCCATGCAGCTGCAAGAACTTCCTCCCGTCGCCTCCTGCCCCAGGAGATGCTGCTCTGGGGGACGTGGGCAGGGACCGCAGCGGAGCTGGGGTCTTCCCAGTTCCTACAGGCTCCCAGTGAAGCGAGATCCCCCCCCTCGATGGGTGTTGCCTCAGTTTCCCTCGGGTGTTTTAGGATTAAACCCTTGGGGCTCAATCTGGGGCTGGGCTGTGGATTTTAGGGGCGAGTGATGCTGCGGTCGGGGTGCAGAACTGACGGGGGGGGAAAAAAATGGGGTGCTCTGTGCCGGGGACACGAGGGGAGGCAGATGAGCGTTGTCCTGGGTAGCGGGGTGCTCTGGGCACGGGGCTTCATCACACCTTTAGGGGTGGGGACGCATCGGGGTGCAGGGTTGGGGTGCAGGATGGAGATGCATTAGGATGGGGGTGCAGCAGTGCACAGGGCTGCGATGGGGATGCATTGGGATAAATCGGGGTGCCAGGATTTGGGTTGGGGCGGAGGATTGGGATACCTCGGGATTGGGGATGCATTGGGGCATGGGATTGGGATGCATCGTGGTGCGGGATTAGGCTGGGGGATGCATTGGGGAGCAGGATGGGGGATGCATTGGGGCATGGGATTGGGATGCATCGTGGTGCGGGATTAGGATGGGGGATGCATTGGGGAGCAGGATGGGGGATGCATTGGGGCATGGGATTGGGATGGGGATGCATTAGGAGCAGGACTGGGCTGCACAGGGGTGCAGGAATGGGATGCATTGTTCCCCTGGCTTCAGCGTTTGCAGGCAGCAGCTCCCTGCGGGAAGGCTCCTTCCTCGGGCGGAGGGAGGGCTGAGCGCCGGGTTTGTGGTCCTCTTGATCTAGTCCTCCCCGCTGCTGCAACCGCGGGAAAAACTTGGGGTTTGTGGGGCGGTGGCAGACGTGATGTGTGGAAGGGACGGCCCGAAACTGGGCGAGGGCCGGTAGAAAGCACTCAGCTGAAATGAAATGAGGGCGAGGGGGTGGCGTGGGGGGAGGAAAACCCAACTTTGGGGAAATGCAGTTACATTTTTTTAACGCTTCTCACTTTAAACTTGCAATTCTTCATCTCCTCCTCTCCCAACAGCTGGCTGATGGCGGGTTTTCCCATCCATCCTCTTTTGCAGGAGGGAAGGGGGCCAGGAGGGGGTATTTGGGTGTTACTTTTTGATAAGCCGAAGCACAGCCCAGCGTAGCTCAGCCAGCGCTGGGGCATCCCACTGTCACTTGGATTCATTTTTGTTTCGGCTTCAGGGGGAGCGAGCTGGAGGCTTTTGGGGAAGTGAGGTGGAATTTAGAGCTCTGTGAGGTTTGGCAGGGTGTGTGCAGAGACCTGCTTACCCCCACCGAGAGCCTGAGCCAGTCCTGGGTTCTCCAAAGAACATTGATTATTTATTTGGGTGATGTTAGGAAAAGGGAAGAAAGCCCCCAAAGCGTCAAAACCTCCAGGTGAAGCAGGAGGCAAACAAAATCACTAAAATATTGAAATCCTAATGGTTTAGGGGCTTTGTAAAAGGAACTTAAAAAACACCTCATAGAAATTACATTATTGAAATTTCTAGCGAAGCACGGGGTGTATTTCTCGCGCTGCCTCTGCCAGGGGCTCTTGGTTGTGCTTGGAGCGACGGGGAAAGTAGAAAACGAAGCGGGATTGTGCAAAGGCCGGAGCGGGAGCTGCGCGCGTGCGGAGCCCTCGGAGCAGCCCTCGGGGTCTCCGAGCCCCTCAGTGGCCGGCAGCAGCTTCCCCCGCTTGCACGAAATCTCCGCTCCTTCTAGCTGGGGTTGGTGGGGTGTGTTACTGAGCCCTTTGCTTTTTTTGGTTTGGGTGACCCTTAAATAACTGACTGGAAGCTTTCAGCAGTGGGCTGGCTTTAAAAATACATTAAAAAAAAAAAGAAAATATATTTTTTTTAAAAAAAAAGGTGTTCTGCAAAGGCAGTGATTGAAAACAAGCGCTTGTCTGGGATGTTAGTGTTGCAGAACCATTGTGGTGTGGCAGAATTATAGCAAAAATCCTGTGTTATGGAAGTGTGGCAGCAAAAAATAAAACACTCTAGAAATTAAACTCAAGGGTGTGTCCAAGGGGATGGGGATTGATCAGCTCCCTGGATGACCCCGCTGTCTTCCTCACCTTCCTCCAGCACCTCTGCCGCCTCCCCTCCCCGTGTTGCTTCTCCTCGGGGGACGGAGGCGTCCCTCCCGCGCCCCGGGGAGGAGCGTGACCTCCCCACGGGCCGCCCGGTGAGGCGAAAGAGGTATTTTGGCAACGCCGAGCCTCCCTGGGCAGGGCGAGACCAGAACCCGTCTGGCTGCATTTCCCCCGCGCATCCCATCAGGTTTCCTCCCTGGGCTTGGAGCTGAGCCACCGGCCCGGCGGCTGGGTGGCTCCCGGCTCCGTGACGCATTGTCTTGTGATCCGCGCTCGCTGGCCAAGGGGCTGTAGGTGGCTGGGCTGAGGCCGGGCAATTCGTAACACCGATGGCACGGATGGACTAGGGGTGGTGTTAACCCATGGCTTCGTTTCTCCCCCCCCCTGTGTCTTGCAGGTGATTGAGGACTTCTATAACCGTACCTGGCTGTACCGATACGATGAGCCCATCAGCCCTGCCACCCTCACCACGCTCTGGTCCCTCTCCGTCGCCATCTTCTCTGTCGGGGGCATGATCGGATCCTTTTCTGTGGGGCTCTTCGTCAACCGCTTTGGACGGTGAGCACCGAGCGTGGTGGACCTGTGGTGGGCCTCAACAGGGGGCGTTGTGCGGCCTCATCCCACCCCGGCATCCGAGGGCGGGTGGTTTTGGGCACCTCCCTCCTGCCAAGAGCTGATGTTTGGGTTCTCCCAACGCCCCTTCAGCCTCTCTGAACCCTGTGGTCCTCCTCACCCTTCTCCCTTCCCTCCCCCAGGCGCAACTCCATGCTGATGTCCAACATTCTCGCCTTCGTGTCCGCCGTCCTCATGGGCTTCTCCAAGATGGCGCTCTCCTTCGAGATGCTCATCCTCGGCCGCTTCATCATCGGCCTCTACTCCGGCCTCACCACTGGGTTCGTGCCCATGTACGTGGGTGAGGTGTCGCCCACTGCACTGCGGGGCGCGTTGGGGACCTTCCACCAGCTCGGCATCGTCTTGGGCATCCTCATCGCGCAAGTAAGTGCCGGAGAACCGGCTCGGGGGGGCGTTGCCCCAGCTTTGATGCTGATGTTCATCAGGGTCTATAGGGGATGGGGTTCAGTGCAGCAGCGCGGAGCGTTGCCCGTGCCGTAGATCCACAAGGCCCTTCAGATGGAGCTGAGGCTGGAGGGATGGACCTGGAGCTCAGCAGGACCAGGAGCTCCAGGAATGCTGAGAGATCTTCAGGTTTGGGGTGGGCAGCATCATGATATGACATCACTTGGCCATTTGGAAGCAACACAGCTGTCCACGTCCCTCTGATGGGCGTCCAAGCCTGTAGTGCGCCCGTGAGCAGCAGAGTTGGGCCCAACTTGAGCTGGGAAAGAGGGGCTCAACCCTTCTCATCCTCAGGTGTTCGGTTTGGACTTGATCATGGGAAACGACTCGCTCTGGCCGCTGCTCCTGGGGTTCATCTTCGTCCCCGCCCTGCTGCAGTGCATCATCCTGCCCTTCGCCCCTGAGAGCCCCCGCTTCCTCCTCATCAACCGCAACGAGGAGAACAAAGCCAAGAGCGGTGAGTGATGCCCGTCCCTGAGCTCATCCCGCCACGCAGGAGGGTCCGCAGTGGCTCCTGACTCCCCACCTCCTCCCCTTAGTCCTCAAGAAGCTGCGAGGCACGACAGATGTCAGCAGCGACCTCCAGGAGATGAAGGAGGAGAGCCGGCAAATGATGAGGGAGAAGAAAGTCACCATAATGGAGCTCTTCCGTTCCCCCATGTATCGCCAGCCCATCCTCATCGCGATCGTCCTGCAGCTGTCCCAGCAGCTCTCGGGGATCAACGCGGTGAGTTTTGGAGGGACCTGGCTGCCGTGGGTCAGCTTGTTTCACTCAGAACTTGGGGTCATGCTGGCTCCAAGACCTGACTCCTTGCCTCATGGCACATCCCTGCCCTTTGTAGGTCTTCTACTACTCCACCAGCATCTTCGAGAAGTCAGGTGTGGAGCAGCCAGTCTACGCCACCATCGGCTCCGGCGTGGTGAATACAGCTTTCACAGTCGTTTCGGTGAGTTTTGGCCCACCGAGCTCTCACCAGGGAAGGTGGAGAGAAGGGGGCTTTCCTCCAGGCCGGGGATATGCTGATGGACGTGTGTCTCCATCCAACAGCTCTTCGTGGTGGAACGAGCCGGACGCAGGACCCTCCACCTCATCGGCCTGGCGGGGATGGCGGGGTGTGCGGTGCTCATGACCATTGCCCTGACACTGCTGGTGAGTGATGGGTGTTGAAGGGACGGGTGGGCTGGGAGGAGGTTCTGCACGCTGCCCCTCGCTGTGGTGCCTTGGAGGAGGCGGTCTGGAGAGGAGGAAGGGCTTGTCCTCCTAGAGCTGCTGGCTGAGCGGTCCCCGCTGCCCACATCTCTCTTGAGGTCCCAGAAATCCAGTCTCCAATCTGGAGAAACCTCATGGCTTCTCTGCCAGCGCCGCGCTCGCTTGGGTCTCACCATCTGCCATGGCCAGATGCTTCCTCGCCCTTCACCAAACCGACCGTCTCT